CCTTCAACCTGGTCTAGGGGAAGGTGTCCCTGCTGATGGCAGGGTGGTTGGAACTGGATGATCTTTAAGGTCCCTTCCAACCCAAACCATTCTGTGATGACACTTGAAATACAAAAGAGTTTGCCACATTTCTCCTGTCTGAACACAGTCCCAATGCCTGGACTTTCTGCCCTGTGAGGTCTCTGACCGTATCTATCCATCACTGATCTGTGATGCACACCATCACCTCATCCCTTGGTGTCACCCACCAGGGCATTGGTGTCACTCCAAGCAACCCCAGGGCACACACACCAGGGAGACAATTGGGTGATGACTCAGGGGCAAGACTGTGGGGCACCACCAGCCACACACTCAGATACCACCATTCCCAGGCCAGGGACCTCCTCCTCTTTTTGGAAGGACAGACAGGAGATGGACTCCTGGACACACAAGCAAGACCAAGTGCTGCCTACCTTCACTGGGGTTACTCCCCACCAGGGAACCCAACATGTCATCGCTTTAGGGCAGCACTACAGCCCATACAGAGGCTGGGCAGAGCTCTTGTCCCCCAGGCAGGGTGACAACTGCAGACACTCACCCTGCCTGAAGTGCTGCCTGCATTGGCACTGAGTCACCTCTTCTTCTGGGCAGGTACTGCCATAAGGAGGTCCTCACTCTGCCAGAAAGAGCCAGCAACATCTGGTTCTTAATTCAAATGTTTGGGGCAAGCTACTGTTGCTCCTGCAGTAAAACCAAGACCTTCTGCCCCTGTACAGAGACTTACCCCAAGGAACCTGCTCTCCATGGGGAGTTCAAGTGGTCTGGCACAACACCAGAGGTGAGAGCACAGGAAAACCTCACCACACATTGATAAAATAAGTAAGACTGTTATCCCCAGCTTATACACCTGCAGAGGACCAAGACATCAGTCCAGAAGATGTATGTCAGAGCCAGGAACCAAATCCTTACCTCTTTACTTGTGGTTCAATAGACTTGCTATTACTCCCTCCAAACCTTGTGCTTTTCTCTTTCCTTGCTCAGAAGTATTTTCTTACTCCTCACAGTCCAGTTCAGACCAGTTTACCCCACCTTCTCAGCACTGGACAAACATATTTAACAGGAGACCCTCCTTCTCTGCTGCACATATTCCCTTCTGAGCAGGTGGGAAACACAGGGTTAATTTATGCTGTACTTCCATGTGACAACTGAACCAGCCTCATCAGATCATGCTCAGGTGGAACCAATTACACAGGGAAAAGGAAGGCGCTGGAGCCCTCAAGCAAGAAGCTGTTGGTCTGCAGCTTGGAAAGCCAGCTGCTGTCTTCTGTCCTTTCAAAGTTTCCAGGTCCCATCTCCACTGCAAAGATGTTGGGCAACTCGGGCATTTTGCTACTGCTGACTGACTTGGTCACAGAGCTCTGGGGCTCTGGGCTTCACTTTGTCCCACCACACCTGGAGCAGATCTGGCCTCCTGCCCACCTGTGCTCCCAAGCTCATACCAGGGCTACCTTTACTCGTGGCACACTTAAGCTTTGGTTAAAGTTGCAGCTCAGGCTCTGTGGGACAGGCTGAGAAAGCAGAAAGAGGCCATTCCAGTGATCAGAGAATCACCAGATGGTATAGGTTGGAAGGGACCTTAAAGATCATTAAAGCCATCACCCCTTGTTCTGTCACTCCCTGCCCTTGGCCAAAGTCCCTCCCCACCCTTCCTGGAGCCCCTTCAGGTACTGGGAGGCCACTATAAGATCTCCCCGGAGCCTTCTCTTCTCCAGGCTGAACAGCCCCAACTCTCTCAGCCTGTCCTCACAGCAGAGCTGCTCCAGCCCTCGCATCATCCTGGTGGCCTCCTCTGCACTGGCTCCAGTCAGTCCATGTCCTTCTGCTGTTGGTGGCCCCAGAGCTGGACACAGTACTGCAGGTGGGGTCTCATGAGAGTGGAGCACAGAGGGAGAATCACCTCCCTCAACAGTGGATGGGAATGAACTTCCACTGCTTCAGGTAATTCCATCCCCTCAGATTGCTCCAGACCCAAACCCGTCACTTACAACACTGGTCCTACTCCTGGATCACCATCACTTTTGTAAATCCAGAGCGATGTCTTCAGAGCACTCCAGACTTGCCCTGCAAACTCTCCTCAAACTTTGGCTAACACCAGCCAGCACCATTAAGAGAGAGCTGGAGATGAACCAAGCCTGAACCAACCTCAAAGCTTGGGTCTAGGTCGAGTCAAAGACAAGCCCAGCGCATAGCAAACTGTCACATGAGCTTCACCTACCCATATTTAGACCTGTAATAGCGTTACACCTAATTATGCCACACAACCAGACAGAAGCACCTGGGGCAAGATCACCACGTTACTCCTCTGGGAAAGACTTTGCCCCATTTTGGTGTCAGGAACAGGCAGTGCCTTTGCGGGGATGGGTCGGGGAAGGCTGCGCCTTGCAGGGTGTTGCTGGATTAAGCCCCTACCCAGAGAAACACCTCCAAGTAAGAAGGAAAATGTAAAAATAATAACACCAAAACCCAAACAAGCAACAGTTTGAGGGCTTTGCTTTGGAATCAAACATTAATGGGTGTAATGATTGATTCAAGGGGCTGGGACAAGGGCTGACACCCCTGTTTATTCTTTAGCATCTGTCTGTGGACTGACCGTGCTTGTGTCCGAGCAAATATTGCATTAAGGAAGCTTATGAACTAAGACGTGAAGCATGGTCAGGTCATCTCCAACTCAGCCCACAGGTATTCTGAACATCCTGCCACCAAAATATGTTAGCAGGAGTTACAACAGCTTAACGTTTAGGAGCTGACTGGGCTGGAGATGGGTTTGGATGCCTCTGCAAAGGTACTCAGCCTTAGAAATACGTGTTGACCACAGTGTGATGCTTGGGGAAAAGGTTCCCTGAATGTGGACCCTATAAATCTTGCAGCTCAGAGCAAGACGGTGTGAATGAGCTGCCCCAGAGCCACAAAAAGCAGCTACTGTGGGATGTTGGGATGGACCAGACCTTGCCAAGGGCTGCCGTGCTGGGACTTACAGCAAAATGAGTGGCAGAGACGGAGGAGGGACACAGCCTTGCAGCCAAAGACCAGGGTAAATCACGGGGCTGTACAGCTCCTGCTGACAGACCCACAAATGCTCCTGTTCCAGCGCTGGGCACACCTGATTCTGGAGAATTTAGGAAAAACCTCAGAAGTGAGGCAGCTTGGGCACTGCTGAGTAATTTGGCTGTTGCCTGGGACCCCGTTGGGCAAGAGTGGGGTGGCCACTTCTGCTGTGAGATAACCCTGTGTGCAAAAAGGCTCAAAGAAACACAAAGAGGTTTCTGAAAAGTGTCCTTCAAGACCTAACGCATCTTGCAGAGCTCCAGCCGCTGTCAATGATTAACCTGCTGCACCCATCAGACCTCCTTGCTTCCAGTTCTCGACGTGAGGAACCAGATCCCTTCTAAAGCCACCTCTTCCCACTGCCTCTGGCATCTGAACCACCAGGCATGCAAAAACCACAAGGAAGAAGCCCTCAAAAAATAATCCCTGGAGAAGTTTAACAGACCAATTGCAAATACATTCACAACTCTTCTCACCCTGCCTCCTTGTTAAGCCTTTCCCACGCCCCTTGGTCATCCTGAAACACCTTTGCTCCACAGTACAGGGACCCAGCACTCAGAGAAGATCCCATGGCAGCAGGAGCCAGGGTTTCAAAGACAGGGGATGGGATGGGCATGATGTTCAGAGGCAGTGGAGAAGCTGAAACCCTTCTGCTAAATCCCCACACTGCCTGCAATGCTGGATGCTGGAGAGGCAGGGACCAGGGTGCTACAGCAATAAACCCAGAGCTGCATTTCTTATCATTGTTGATTGGAAACACCACCTAAAAACCACACTGATTACAGGAGAGGGAAAAACCCAGAAGCCTGAAGTGATCATTTTAAAGCTTTCAGCTATTTAATTGTGGGTTTCCACACGCTGATAGAGAAGCCAGCGCCCTCGCCGCAAGAAGTTTCTCTTCCCCAAAGCGCTCTCTGCATCCCTTACATCTAAGGAGATGCTGAGCATCTCGGAGAGAAACCTCCTGAATGCTCCACAGCAAAGGAGGATGTCCAGCCTTGCAGGTGAGATGGTGGCAGTCACCCAAGGTGACAGCAAGGCAGGTGTGAGAGCCCTCCACAGAGGGAGCAGGTGGGCAGAGGAGCTCCTGAACCTCACCAAGAAGATCCTTTGCTCCCTCAAGGATAGCTTGCAAGCATCAACAGCTGCTTTAAAATACAGTTACAGCTGTACTACATCTCCAAGAAAAACCAGTTATAAATCTCCAGCCATGGTGCTCTGCAGCATCTCTGAGTGTCCAAGCCTTGGGCTGGGCTCTTCACCATCCATTGCTGCCATCAAAGCCTGGCAGGGCCTCCACGAGGGAAGAGCTACCCAACTCTCCTGGAGAACACTGCAGACTGTGCACCAAAACCCCTGAGTCAGCTCCACACCTCTGTGGGCTGCAGGTTAAAGGGAACGTTTTCAGATACATGCTGAAGATCATGGATCCCAGACCTACTTCCAAATATGATGCCTGTGCTTCAGGGTCCCAATCCCATTTCCTCCCAGTAAGTCCCCAGGTCACTTCTGGACTTGCCTCAAGTCCCCCAGCTCATTTTTGGACACCAAGAGTCACATCCCTGCTTGCTTTAGGAACTCTTGAAATGTGAATTGCAAATCTACATGGAGCTACATGAAATAAAAGGGGCTCCCTTCAATAATGCACATTTTTACTCTTACAGTTTGGCTGTTTTTCCCTCCTCTTCAGCTGTTGGGTCTTTAAAATCCCAAAGGATTGGAGAAAAAAAAAAAGGCAGGCAAGAAATAAAAACATAGATGGGAAAAGAAAAAAAAAAAGGAGTTTTCTATGGGGCAGATGGACCCAGCCCCTCTGCTAACCACAGCAAAGCAATATTTTCTAGCGGGATAGGGGGGACCATGCTGTGAAGAATGACCATGGGTGGCCATTCCCAGCACTTCCCATGGGTACTTACTGGTGCTTGTGCTAGTGCCGATGGTGTTGATGGTTGTGGGGACGGAGGAGGAGGAATAGAGGGGCAGATGGCCGTTCTCACACGCCAGGTTTTTGTCCTGCCAGCTGGAAGCGCTGACGTTGACGCTCGAGTCTCGAGAGTTTTGCCATCCATTGAGTTTGTCATCGGAGTTTTGTCTTTGGTGATAGTAGTGTGTCTGCCCGTAGTCCACCGAATCCGACCGACCTCTGCTCTGGCTCCCAAAGCCACCCGACGTGCGGTCCTCCAGGTGGTTGAGCCACATGGCCAGGGCACTCCTGTCCTCTAAGGAGGTGGCAGGATGTATCAAGGCATAGGACAGCAGCTGCCTGCTCTCCTCGATGTGTTGGTTGTGTTCGATCGAGTGGGCCAGGATTTTAGGCAAGAGTTTCATGTATTCGACTTTTGCCTCGATGTTTCCGGGCTTCAGTAAAGGCAGGTGGGTTAACAATAAGGAAATCACTTTATCCTTGGATTCCTGTTGCCATTGGTTAATGATTCCTGTTGAAGGAAGAGAAAAAAAAAACCAAAGAACTGAGAAATTGCTAAACAGAGCTAATAAAGAAATAAATAGAGCATCTCCCAGGTAGGGGGGGTCACCGCTTTCCAAAAACCCAAGTCACAACAAGACGTGTTGAATTGGACATCAAGAGTTACCAGATGTTCCTGAAAATCACTCAAAAAGCTGAATTACACCCACCTCTACGGCCACGTAGCTCCACTGCTGTTGTCTTAACGGTCATCAAAGTCACAATTTGGCCCAAATTTCCTGTAGTGTTGCAGATGACACAAAATACTACACAAAAGCACTTTGTGGATAAACCCAACCTTTTAAAAGCACTGGCTGGAAAATGGAAAAGGTTAAGAATTAAATGAGCTAACAAAGGTGTCCTGGTTTTTGCCAGGACAGGATTAATTCTCTTCTTAGCAGCCAGAAAGCGCTGTGTTTTGGTTCCAGTGAGGATTGTTATGAGAAGAAATGTTGATAACTACAAGGACACTGAGCTTGGGCAGTTTGCAAGAGCAGAGGACTGGAAGGGGAAGTGGAGAAGAAAAGTGTAGTAGTTGGTAAACCCAGAATTGACAGTGGGATGTGCCAGTGAGATATTCCAGATCATATCCTGTCATGTCAGTATATTAACTGGGATTGACTGGAAAGGGGAGGGGAGGGGGGATTCTCTCAGGAATCACTCGGGCTCTCGCTTTTCCATGATTGTGATTTCAGTTTCAAGGTTCCTTTTCACTCCTCTGAGATCATTATCAGCAGGTGGTGAGCAACTGTACTCTGCATCACTCATAGATATAGTTGTTGTTGTTATTATTATTATAATTACTATTGTTTTATTTTACTCCAATTATTAAATTGTTCTTGTCTGAACCTACAAGTCTCCTGACCTTTACCCTTCCAATTCTCTCCCTGATTCCCTGGGTGGGGTGGGGGGCTGTGAGTGGCTGTGTCTTGTTTGACTGCCAGGTAAGTTAAACCATCCCAAAACGCAAGAGCCACAGAGGGCGAAGGGAAGAAGCATCCCAGCAGGAGGGCAATAACCACACCAGGGCGTTGGTCCATCCGCCAGCCTGGTGTGATAAGCCACCCCAAAGATACTGAGGGAAGGGCTCAGCTGAAGGAGCTGCAGAGCTATTGTTCCTCTGTTAGCTCAGAGCAGATAGGAGAGGTTTCAGAAGAGCAGAAAAAAAAAAGCAAACCTAAGGTTTAGCTTTAATAATGTGCAAAAGGAAAAGTCAGGGAATTACCAACTGGTCACTTAACTCCAACTCCTGGAAAACTGATGGAACAAATAATGAAACAACCTATTTGTAAGCACTTAGAAGATAACAAGATGATAAGTGACTGCCGACACCGATTTGTCAAGAACAATTTCATTTCCTTCTGCGACAGAGGAACTGGCCTGTGAATAGCTGGAGAAGCAGCCAGCGCCGTATATCTTGATATTCATTAGGTGCTGCCGCAGACAGTTCCCTCAGCAGCACAGCAGAGAAACACGCTCAGGCGAAACTACTCTAATGTGGGCACACAACTCATCAGAAAACCATATGGAGAGAGTCATTACTGGTGATTCACCAGCAGACTGGGAGGATGTGCTGAGCAAGGAGACTTGTCCTGGCCGTGACACTATTGAATATGTCATCGGCGATAGGGGTGATGTGATAAATGTATTCAATGTGTAGATATCACACTAGGAGAAATGAAAACACTCCAGGAAACTGGATTAGAAGTCAAATAACGTGGAAACCTGGAGAAAAGTCAAAAAAAACCCCCCAACCCAGCTGCATTAAGTAGGTGTAAACATCTGAATGCAGGTGGGAACAAATTGCTGTGCAGTACCAGGCGGGGAAGAGCCTGGGGTCAGGAAGCATCATAAGCTGAACATCAGTCAAAATGCCACGTTGCACATAACAACTGCACCAGCCAGGATGTCATCCGTCTGAGAGGTGAAGACCAGCGTGGATAAACTGCTCCTCGTGTCTCCTGGGGAGTGTAGTCACAGTTTGGAATTGCAGCAAAGGTGAATGAGGTTGGACATGAAGGAACTACCTCCCACAGGTAGGGCTAGTGATGCGCTTTGTGATCCCCATACTGGGAAGGGATTGCCTTCAAACAATGTGAAATCTCCATCACAAGGTTTTTCCACCAGCCAAGGATAGCTCAGGGTCTGCCAAGACCACCTGACTGACACTTCCCAGCCCCAGGTCAGTCTCTCCTTCAGCGCTTACCAAACCCTTCTATGAAGCCTTCAAACTCTCAGTCCCTGTAGCAGGCTGTGCCTAAGGGTGCCACAACTGAACCACCTGGTGCAAAAGGACTTCTTTCTGGTCACCCAAAACTTCACCAAGTGAAATTCCCTGAGTTCTCATATTATTAAAAAACCCCCAAAACTGCTGCCTCCTATCCATACTGTAGAGGAAGCTGCTCTAAATCACTGATTACCCCTACACCCTCCATGTGTTTTTATGCTCAGGTAACCAAACCTGTCCCAGTGAAATAAAGATCTGGATGTCCAACTGTCAGACCACCCATCAGGTTTGCTCTTGGGAAGACCTACACTGCCATCCAGCAGCTAACCCAACCCTTCCATCACCCCACCACCCCGTGACCCAGAAGAGGGCTATTACAACAGGGCCTTTTCACAAACCCTGCGCGTTGGTTCCTCAACACAACTGTGGTGGTGAGCAGCACTCGCCCTTCCAGCTTCACCTTCCCAGTTTGAAGGCATGCAACCATTTTAATAGGAAGCCACTAGATGGCTTGCTGGAAACATGACAGCTCTCACTGGAACTTTCTCCAGTTCTATTTACCGCTCCACAGACCCACCCCTCCTCCAGAGCTGCTTCCCAACCCGGCCAACAGCATGCCCAAGCCATCTTGTGTCGCTGCACCAAGAGGAACAAGGGACACCAGTGTGGCACAGCTTTGGTAGAGAAAGAACCACTTCATCTTGCAGCAGGAGAGAGTTTCAGTGCTCTGAGTGCCCTTCCATTCCTGTGGAGATGCTGTGAGGTTGTTTTGGTGCTAAAGAAGGGGATTTGGAAAAGCAACCTAAGTGAAGTTGTAAAGAATACATCCGTGCAGCAGAACACAAGGTCCACTCCACAGCAGGTACACGACACACACCTTCTGATGCAACGCAAAGCAACTTCTGTCTGGGATCACAATTCACCATCCTGTGCCCTTCCAGCTCACCAACATTTTTTTGCCAAAAGCACAGTGGGACTGAAGCCAATCTTTGGGGGATCCAAATGCAACGTGTCCATGCCAAGCCAGGCTCTACCCACTGAGTGTAGGGTAGTCAAAACACTTTGGAGCAGCTCTGCTGCTTTGGATGCAATAATTAAACACAGGTACTGGCTGAGAAAGTGAGGGGAAAGCCTTAAAGTCTCTTGTGGTTGGACTCAAGTCTTAAATCATAGAATCATTGAATGGTTTGGGTTGGAAGGGACCTTAAGATCATCCAGTTCCAACCCCCCTGCCATCAGCAGGGACACCTTCCACTAGACCAGGTTGCTCAAAGCCTCATCCAGCCTGGGTAAAGGTCTTTTCCAACCAAAATGATTCTATGATTCTATAAAGACCCTTTGTTTTTGGAAGCTCTTCGGTGGGACATTGCATCTACATCCTCCTGTGGATGCAACCATTGGGATGTCCACATGGCAGCTGCCTTTGACTAGGTACCCCACCACGTTGGAGGGGAACTAGCACAGAGGCAAAGCTGCAGATAGGGAGAAGTATCACCCAAATCCTTAATTTTTCTCTGTAGTGGGGGGGTTCCCATCCCTGCTTTTCCCTTGCCAGTGGGATCAGGTGCAATGTCTTCTCTGTGAGAACAGCCTACACAGCTTTGCCTCTGCCTTCCCCAGAAACACGTGGTCTTGGCCACAGACCCATCTCATCACTATTTCTCATCGCTATCACTATTTTTTCTGTAAGTCCAGAGAGAGAAGTCAACATGAGTCTGGATCATTAGTTCATACAGCTGATGGAAGCAGATTTGTGCTGCAAGGACGACTCTGAGTGGCACCAGCTGAGGCTCAACACCAGACACTGCTCATCACCTCTCCTGCCACCACCTCCGAGTCCTGATGTGGGGACCACCAGAACCAGGATGCCAGACACGGATGCAGCACGATGCCACTTAGCACCAACTGTAGACAAATTCCTCAGCCAGGTTGCTTTGATTTTGAAATGCTACTGGTTGCACACAACACCTACTGCACTTGAGGGACACTTTCCAGACCTCTCTCTTGCACCAAGTGCAGCCTGAGTGTTTGCCCACCAGATCATCTCTGTATTTTCCATATGCAGATGTAATTCAGCTGCAGGCAAAGCTTTGTGTCATGCTTAATCTGATTGATCTGTGTCCTCTCTCCTCTGCTTCTTGGCCAGCTGCCTGGGAGGTGAAAAACCATCTTATTTTCTCCCTTCCTCCCACCTGGGAGGTGAAAACCCATCTTATTTTCTCCCCTCCTCCCACAGAGGGATTTCACTCCTTCCCTTATCACCCCCATGTTTTATCATCGCCGTCCGGATGATTCAGCAGCTCCTTCAGGCCATACCCCAGCCTGGCACTGTCAGTGGGGAGAGGTCGTGGAGATTTTGAAGCAGCTCGAATAAACTGAGAAATCAAAAGATGATTAAAAATAAAAGGCATGCAATGGATTGCTGAAAGAAGTCAGTGCCACTTGGACATAGGAATTACGTAGCAAAATCCATGCAGAAAAAGCAGAACCTGGTGCAAACTGGGTGTAGGGGAGGAGGAGGAGGATGGAGGAGGCAGGTGGCCGTGGTTGGACTCCTCTTCCTCACACAGAGACGGGGCTAAGCGTGAAGTTCACCCCTGGAGAAACACAGGATGGTGCCAGACCCGCTTCTTGGGAAACTTGCCTCAGACCTCCAAGAGATTTAGGGGCTTGAAATGACAACCCCAGAAGATGGAGCAGTGACCCGAAAGCCCGCAGCGGTTGAGGGGCCAGGCGCCCTTCCCTGCCCCAGCCCAGGCAGGAGCTGCTCTCCTTCTCAGCCAGCAGCAGGATGTGCACAATTAAACAAAAATGGAAAATAATTAGATCGGAAAGAGGTTTGGCTTTCTCTGAGATGGGGCAGAAGGTCAGGCTTAATCCCATCTGCCAGAAAACAGGGATCTGGAGAGGGTGGTGTGGGAGGAGGAAAGCTGGAGCTGCCTCTGGGCAGGGGCAGAGGGGCCAGTGACCCCCCAAAGCCCCTCTCCACCCTCTCCCCAAACACTTAAGGAGCCCTTGCTTCAGCTCCTCACGTGCTGCCACACACTCCTGGACATCTGGGATGTCTCACCCTTTATTGCCAGAACAAGTTGCCCTGTGTCAGTCGTGGTTAGGACACGTCCTGGTTTTGGGCTCCCACATCCCAGGGTCCCAGCACACTCCTGTGGTGTACGGGGTGACGGGCACTAATCACATTACAGCCTGACGAGCTCCCTGGGGTGCTGCTTCAAAGCTGTCCCCAGCTCTCTGTCACAAGGCTTGTGCTGCTCTAAGGGATGACAAGACTATCGGTATTTGCAGCAGATAAATCTTAGCGTTGAGAAAGCCCCCAAGTTAGAAAATCCACCTCACTGCTTTGAAACTCCTCAAAATCCCGGTCCTGCCCGTTGCTGTCGTTGCACTGACATCTCCTTTTGGAGATGAGCTAAAATAATAACTGACAACAAGCAGACTGAGGAGACAGCTCCCATCCCAGCTCTGTGATCCCCATACTGGGAAGGGATGGGAGCTGCCAGCAGCCCTG